CAGTTACGTGCAATAGGTTATTGACATTGACAAAGCTCTAATTGGGATGAGAATTTGATCTCTTTCATCAAATCTAGATTTTCATAACTTTCCGTTTAACGAAGTTTTTTCTGTTATAATATTTTTATATGAATTTAGCAATATTCTGCTTGACTTGTACTGCCAGATTGACAGATTGAAATCATTGTTGCCATATAAGTATTATTTGCCTGTATGTTAAATTAAGATAATAATTATTTTTGAATGATTACGTATAATAGATTTGACAGTAGCCTGTCACTTATCATTTATTCAGACACAAATTCAAAAATTAAGGTCAAAATGTTCAATCAGAATCAGTCTTAGCTTTATCGCGTGCTCATCTTTTAAACTCGTTAAAATAATACGAGTTCAGAAGTTGACGGTTGATTTGGTGAATTTATTTTTCATTTTAAACTTTATTTAGATATCATTTTGACATTTATTTCATTTTAATGAGAACTCGTTTCTGAATCCTTAAAGTCAGGGTTATGATTTACGATCCAGTTGATCAGATTAGTTTATTTAAAGTTGATTTAAGAAAAAAATACTCTATTAACTTTTCATTCGTGGATAAACATGTATTTCTAATTAATGAATGCCGTTTGTCAATTATATCTATAGAGAAAGATATAGATATATCATATAGGTACATGCGGGAAGTTCTGTAATCGGTACACTGAGATTTAATGAAGTTTTTTTTTTCAGATAGACCGAAAATCTAGATTAAAATACGAGTAGTTGAAGTATTGAACATTTAAATGTAATTTTCAAGCGAATTCCAAACCAGGAAATATTACGATTAAATTGAAATTAAACTCTCAGCATTATATCTGATTCCCAAAACATATTATTCACGATCACAACCCTCGTGAAGATCTCAAATAGTTTTTCGTTTAGTTTGATAATTCATAATCAACATTTTGTCTCAACATACGAAGCGTTGGCAATTTTTCATTCATAAGTCGCCATACGCTATGAGCTATTGAATGACAAAGAGTAAAAGCATTGTATTGTGGCAATATATACACGCAATACTTGTGCTAAGCTTACTATTATTAATCTGTAATGCAGACGTGAAATGTTTCCGGAGTTATAGAGTAACCAGACTGGTTATAAGCATTGAATTAAATGCACCTTCTCTTCTTGTAATTTTGATACTCGCCACTTACCACTTTAAGACATATTAACTCCTGTTTGACATTTTTATTGTATGTGTCTGAAGATGCTTTTATAAATACAATCTATTTTTTTTATAGTATTGCAAGTCAATAATTTTTCTTAAGTTTTCTAACTGTTTTGAACACTAATTGAAAACTTACATGATATCATACAATAAGGAAATACAGTAAGTTTTGTAATTTATACAGGTAAAGAAAAAAGTATACAATTCTATTAACTGTTTGAATGGTTATCAAATAAGTATCATAAGAAATTCGTTTTAAGTAAAACCATATTCAGTATTCTTGTTTATTCCAAAACGCACGGAAATCCATAATTACTCAGAAGGACAGCCTCCCTCAACTATTAGATCTGGGTAAGCATATTAATAATTATTTCTGACATTTATATAGTTTTGGGGCAGTTATAAATGGTATTCAACACTTATAGATGCTGTATTAATTGAAATGGTCGTGATCGATCAATAATAACAATTTATTTACCAAGGTCCGAACTCGCTGACGTCTCTGGTTATATTGGGATGATATAAAATTAAAGAATATATATCATTAAGAAAAATGTGCATTTTTTAAAAAAGTTCCTTGTTATGGCAACATTGCATTTCTTAGTGTCACAAAAAGTCAAATATAATTAACATTTTGACAACTAAATTGTGATTAAAAGTGTTAAAATCTAATGTAAAAAAAAAACGTTTGTATCAACAACTACTAATAAATTAAAAATTAACTAAAAAAACATTGTCCAGCGGACAAAATTGTGAATCTAAATAATTCCCAGATCCCCTTGAACACACCAGTCGTTTGAGAATTCAGTGACATACACACTCACAGAAGAATTATATATATAAAGGTTTATATAATGACCAACAATAAGGCGGCCAACCGTCCCGCATTCTGCGGGACCGTCTCGCAATGCTAGACGAAATCCCGCTTTGAAATTATTCCTAAAATAGTCCCGCAAAACGTTGTATGCGTCCCGCATCCCTATTTTTCTACCACACTTCTACACAAGTCACAACACCCATACCACGGTCAACAGTGCAGGAACACAGATTACCTATAATATCGACAAGCGTATCGCGCCCGCGATAATCTCGTCTTTTTTCTTTCTTCTGAACTCATGACGCGTAAGAGAGTACTTAAATTTATAATATGGGCAGCTGCGAAGATTTTTATGCCTTTCCCAATCCCTAACACCCCCCATTCACCCCCACCCATTCACGAAAGGTTAAGTCCCGCATTCAGTTTTCGGAAAGTTGGCCGCCTTAACCAACAAATTGATATAAAATCTCTGATAATATTTACAATTCTAGAAAATCTATATATCTAAATACAATATTTTGCTTAGTACAAGTCTGTGTCACCGCAGCGTTTTCCGTTTCTTATTCAATATGTTACCTTCATACTATGTATTACATATTATGTATGTTGAAAACCTGTGCTAAACATAGACGCAAACAAATTAAAAACTACCAAATATCCTCTAGGTCATCATACCATAAATAATCCATGGTTACATCGAGTTAAAAGTAATCCGCGAATAAGTTAAAAAAATATAACGAACCATTGAACTTTTAAGCCTTTCGCTATGAAACACATTCAAGGTTAAGGTTAATAATAATAAATACACGCATTCGTTATTTGATTCCTGACTGACACAACGCATAACGAATAACTACTATTATAATTATTATATTCGAAAACTTATAACCTTTGTGATTGATATCCATTGTTTAATTTATATCTAAATATTTTTACGAGAATAGATAATGAAAAAGATCTTAATTGGGAGTGATTTGACTCACAAAAATGTAAGTGATAGATAGGTACTTGACCTTATTATTAAAAGGAGTTCAAATAAAAAACTCATTACTATTAAATTATACCTTTTTCTGTTGAAAAAAAAAGAGTAATTTAAATAGGCTAACGTAATTATAATTGACAAAGCACTTTCTTTGTTAAAAGGAAAACGATCGCAACAACACTCGTCTTATAAATACGTTAAGAAATTCTGTAAATAAGTAATTTCTAATTGGTTTAGAATACATAACTTATAACAATATTAAAATTTGTACATATAAATTAAGAACTATGTAAATTATTTAAACAATGCTTGAATTTTATCACCTCGCTTCTTGGACGAACTTACAAAGATCATTTTTGTATTCCTAAAAAGAAATAGTCTACAATTAAAAGCTCAACAGTCAACACCCAAATACGTTAATTAAAACAAAGGAAACGAGATTAAACTGATTTAGCAGTAGAAGGCATGTTTTATTTGTCCCTTTTATGTTTCTTTGTCATACATTAAAATGATTCTTCTCCTTTTTAAGCTACCACACGGTTGGGTAATAAAAGTTGCAACTGAGTTAGTAATATATTTAGTCAGCGGTTTTCAAGGTTAGGCTATACATAAATATTTTTGATACATATTTCTTTTATTGGTAGTAAATAAAAGAATAATTTGAATACTTACAAGTATTACTTATTAGGTATACCTACTTTAAAAAAGGCATAATTTATACCAAATAAAAATTTCAGTTTATACAAAAATTTACATAACAATATAGTTTATATTTAAATATAAAGCATAATTTAAAGCTTAAAGAATTACGAGGAACGTAGGTGTGCGTGGGATTCGAATAATACCAACAAATTGTTTGCGTATCATTCACTCGACCGAGGTCTAACAAATGTGATTGATGAGTGAAATAATTTACTATTGTCTATGGTGCATTGTAATCAATAGTTCCATAATTAATAGCACTTATCCTTAACCTTTGTTACAATATTCACCACTCGTGTCCTGTCAAATAAAACAATAATTACTTTAACTAGAAAGTTGTAGTTTGACATTTCGTCTTTGTATAAGTGACAGTTTTAGTTGTTAATATTATATCAAAGATACCTATTACTTATTAGATAAAGACAGTTGTGTTTCGTAATAACGTAGGTTGGTGACAAATTTGTAATGAAGAAAATAAATTATTTCTTATTGCATCGTTAAACTAAATGCAGATAGTTTTTATTTTATTAATATACACATATTGAGACTGCATAGAATTTTATTAGTAAGTTTGACAATACAGACGTATCTTTTGAGTACTGTACAAGTACTCACGTTTCTACAAAAAAGTTTTCATGTTATCCTGACATTGATTTATCAAAAAGGCTAATCACCGGTAATTTTATAAATGGAAGAATAAGAGATTTCAGCTGCCATGTACAAGAACTGATAATACACTTTTCTCAATTGAAGCTGCTTCGGTTAAACTTTTAGAAGATAAAACTTATTCCATCAAAAATAACTTAACCATAGCGAACGATTCACATTTGGAAATTTGAATAATGCCTTACATAAAAAATAATTCCATAATTGTTTATTCTATTTTTTATTTTTCCTGAGTAATGAAATCTATTGACTTCTTATTTACGATAAACAACTTTATATATCTACAGTGTTGTTTCGTAATCAGAGCTTTTACTTTTGAAAACAAAATCTGTCAAACAACTTGTAACCTTGTGCAGCCAGTAAAATATTTTTGAGAATAACAAATTTTACAACTTTTAATCCACTATGAAATTTACTTCTATATTCTTTACATACCATATCTTATAATAAAAAAATATCAGAGTGAGGATTTTCTAGATTTTGATTTGTTATATTTTATCTGTTATAATAACTTAAAGGTTTCCGAACGAGCGCAGCGCCATGACAACGTGAAAATTATTTAAGAAATGCAATTGACAACTGCTTTCTATCGATTTATCAGGTAAAAAAATTCATTTTTGCCAATAAAAATGGATAAAGCTTTTGAGATTCAGAAAAAAGCTCGGGATAATGTGAAGACATTGCATACATATCTTACCGATTTACAGAACTGGGAAATTGAAATGAAACGTAAAGAGGCCGCTCTTAACGGTGACTTAGAGCAGGTTTAATTTTTTGCATTGTGTTTGTGATCTCTTAAATTAAATAGTGTAGTGTCGACATGTATCTAGTCCTAATGATATCGAGTGAATTGTTTAATGGTGGACTTTGTTTTTTCATTATGCTGTTCTATATTCTTTATATTTTGCCGGATTATTTGAGACAACTATCTAACGAAGGTTTTTATGGATAGGAACTCCCACCAGTGAGGAGTAAGGTGAAGAGAGAAAGGCCTGTTCAGGTGAAGCAGAAACCAGAGAAAAAAATAGTTGCTTCAGACTATCAGGCATGGGAAAAATTTGATGCAGTAAGTATTATGAGTACACTTCATGGTATAAGAAAAACTTGAATTGTACATTTTAGATGAATAGTAATATAATATTTAATGTTACAATAAGCTTACTTCTAGAACTTTCTATAACAATTACGTATTATACTTAGGTACATTTTTATACCTCTTTTTTACCTAAAGTTCAAATTATTATATTTCAAATAAAATATAATTATAATTATCAAATTAAATATTTATAACCACCATTGCCTTGAACGTTAATGTTTATTATGGTCTATTGCCAGTTTTACTATTAATTTTTATACCTCACCATAGATTTGTTAATAATTTCCTATTTCAATTTATTTTTATAATTATAGTAGCTTACTATTATTATCTCTAAGATGATTATTTTGTATTGTTGTATACACAAAAATGAAACAATGTGTTGTATTTATTAACTGTGTAATAAATACAGGTTTATAGAATAAGCAGTTAATTAACTATTATATTTATTTATTATATTACTGTATGCAAGGCAACCTTTAAAATAATACATAATTTGAATGTGTTGTGCCTCAATTAACTGTTAATTCTTTCAAACCCTGCCGCTGTTGTAAGATCTTTTATCAGATATATAAAAATATTTTACAGCAATTTCTAAAATCTAAATATGTACTACATTATATATTATTTTATAGATTATTTAATACAAATGAAGAATAAATTTAATTTGTATATCAAATGGAATTGTATTTACCTATTAACTAAAGAAATTACCTGTTACTTCATAAAATATCTTCTTGACTGCCTTCCGTGATTATGAAATAGTAATTTTTATGTTAAATTACATGATAAATTAGGCTAGATTAATTTAAAGCATTAGAATGTGTATGATCTGTTTAAATCTAATATATAAAATTCTCGTGTCACAGTTTTCGTGCCCATACTCCTCCGAAACAACCTGACCGATTTTGATGAAATTTTTTGTGCTTATTCGGTAGCTATGAGAATCGGCCAACATCTATTTTTCATCCCCCTAAATGTTAGGGGTAGTCCACCCCTAAATTTTTATTTTTTATTTTTTAGACAAAATTTTTAATTACTATTTTTTTATGATACAACGTACAAAAATACATACAATCCTAAATTTTCACCCTTCTACGATCAACCCTTATTTTTTAATAGCTATATTTTAGTAATTTAATCATTTTTCATCTCCGGTCGATAACTGATCAATCGTCATTTAATAAGTTATCCCCGCCAGATATCTACAGGTGTCACTTCTGACCCAGTAAACAGCACGGAGTAGGGATGAGAACGAAGCCGGTCTTCTGTTTCTCTCACACAATTAGACTTCTCTCACTCCCTACACAGTTGTCGGCCATCGTTATTGTTTGTGCATCAAGTGTAGTAGTAACGTTGACAATTATTATTTTGCTAGCTCAGTGTAACTCTCATATTAACTATTAATCATTCCTAATCACTTCAAAACACGGAGATTTATGGCTTTAATAGGTAAACTCCAAAAATATAAATAAAAAAACGTAACAGATATTTCTTGATTATAGGGCGAAACGAAGTTCGCCGGGTCTTCTAGTAGACATATATTATTATATTGTTCAATCCAAAAATGTTAACTTATATATAGCAGTTGAAAAAATACCTCATGTCACTAAATATATTGTAAAAACAAGATTTCTTAAATGTCTAAACAATTCAAATGCAACCCCAAGCATTTTATGTCCAAATTCTATTTTGTCAAATGATTTTTATTTTTGAATAATATCCAAGTATTTCCTAACATATAAAAAATATGAAGAAAACAATATTAATTTCTAAGTTATAATTTCAGGAAAAAGCATGCGAAGAAGTTGATATGGCAGATTTAGGGCCGGTGTCGCTTGATAGTAAGAAGAGCAATAAAATTAAGACTGAGAAGTTAAAAGAGGAGGCGCAGTATGAGAAAGAGAGGGTAATTATATACACACACATATATATACACACCTACACACACACACACACACACACACACACACACACACACACACACACACACACACACACACACACACACACACAGACACATACAACACAAATAAATAATCTTATTTTGTAAATTAAACAGACTATAATATTATTTATAATACTGATTATTTGTTGAAAAAAAAATATATTGGAACTTTTTGTTTCTTGTTTGTTTTGTCAAACTGATAGTAATTTTCTTGTTGGTGAGATAAATACTGGAATCAAGTGATTGGAGTGAAGCAATAGTAATTTTGTAAATGTTATTTGTTTTAATGGGTGTATAAGAATGAAACAATATTCCATTAGTTTCCATAAAGGCTCAAAGTAATGAAGTCTAAGACTTGCAAGTATTCATTTAAATAAAACTAATAGTTTCAGATAACTATTCGTTTTTTTATGATTTTAATACTACATGCTACTTAGTAACCCAAACATCTGGAGTATGTAGCGGGATTGAAGTAGGTTTTGGTATAAATTATTTGACATATGTAAAATCCCTCTATTTATATATATTAGCTTTATTGTGTTGATCTATCTATGAAAGGTGTTGGTACAATAAACTATTCAAAGGAATTTTAAAATAACAAATGCTCCACAAAATATAATTTATGCAATAAAGTTGCTATGTGGAAGTATTTTTAATATAAAGCAATTTTAGATTCATCAACAGGATTTGTATGAAATCTTAATGAGGTTATTTTAAACACAGAAAATATTTGAGTCAATTAATGTAATAAAAAGAAATTTTAGGTGAAATTAAGCTAATTACATATTTGTATATATTCCAGGGCAATAGTTTTGTTAAACAAGAAAAATGGGACGAGGCAATAGCATGCTACAACAGGGCCATTGAATTAGTACAAGATGATGCAATATACTATGCCAATAGAGGATTGTGTTATCTTAAAAAAGATAGGTAAGGAGGACGAAAATGTTAGTTAATTATTGAATTAAGTTAAGTAGAGGATATTGAATGAAAAATTTATAGACATAAGCGGGAATCGAACTTGCAACTTCCCAAATATTATTCCACTTGTCTTAAAGATAAGGTAAGGTGTTTGAATTTTCATTCAAGTTTTAACTCTAGTTAATAGAGATGTAAGAAATATAATTTCATTTTTATGAAGTAATTTTTTAAGGAACACTCAATTAATAAAATTAATGTTTCCTAAAAAAGTGTTGCAAATAATATTCTTTTACAATACTAGTAAATTCTGTTTAAATTAAGTTTATAAGTTGCTACCATAATAAAATTTGATGTGAATTTAAAGTTTTGTATGATGTGTCAATGGGAGTACATACATGAATGTTTAGAAACTCTTCCATTAAAATGGCATAATATATTTTAAGATACATAATTTTTATTCTACAGGGTGACTGGTGAATTACTATCAATATTTAAGGAGCATACTCGGTACATGATTCTCATTCGAATTATGTAAAAAAAATAGGTACTTAATTTTTGACCAAATTTCCGTATAAATAAATAAAGTGTGTACACGTTCCAAGTGTTCCAAGTGTGGATGCGTGCGGCGGCGTGCTAATACAACAACACGCCGCCGAATGTGTGTGTGTGTGTATACCTAATCTGTAGGGTGTTCATACGATGCGTAATTAATTACATAACTTTTGGTTAACTTTACTTAGAAGTTTATTAATATTTATGTTATATTAATTTTTATTTTGTCATATATGATCGTCAAATATCACGTCCTCAAATATCGATAGTAATTCACCAGTCACCCTGTATATTCCCTAGAATTTAAACAAAGAATTTATAAAAAATGATAAAATTAAATCACAATAATTTTTCTTGTACTGACCAAGTCGTGGTATAATTTCCATTTAATAGAATTTTTATCACAAACAATTCATTTATTATATACATATATTTATAAGTAAATCATATATAAATAATATCATTATTATTTATTATGTATTGTGTATAACATATAAATAAAGTAGAATTTTTTCAACAGATTACACCAGATTAATTCCTTTCATTTATTAATATGATTAATTTCATAGATAATTATATACATACTAGTAAACCTGGCGAACTCCGTTTCGCCAACAGAAGGCTTTTATATAACATTTTGTTTGGTGATTAAAAGATGAAGAATTTTTTGTTTTATATTTGAAAAGGAAAATTTTTATTTCATTTCACAACAGTAATGAATTCATTTCGATTACAAAAATGAAGTGTTTAGTTGAACTTCTCTAAGTAAATAAAAGTGAATCCAAAGTAGATACCGAATCGAAGCGTTATACGTGCCCGCAAATTATCCGTTTCATTGAAGTGCTCCTTTGTAAACCACATTTTTTGTTTTTTGGTCTAACTTTAAAACAAATAAAGCGTATGGTTTCCAAACTAGTTAACACGCAAAATATAACTCCCCATGTGAAAAACAATGATTTTCTAAATTTATCCCGCAAATACTAAATGGTTTTAAGAGTTCAAACTACAAACACAATACCTAAATATTTTTATTTTTATATAGTAGATTTCTTACAAATATCTAATTGTCATCATTACGTCATTACATATCTGTCATTATACGTCAATTGCATAGCTGTCAATTGTGTTATTCTACGTTTTATAATGACTGACGTTTCATGTCAAGTCCCACGGGAATGCTGTCGAACGGGATAAAAAGTATCCTATTGCAATTTCCTGGTTCTAAACTACCTCCCTGCCAATTTTCAGCTAAATCGTTTCAGTCGTTCTTGGGTTATAAGTGCAGTCACTAACACGACTTTCTTTTATATATATAGATTAGCTGCCCTGGCAAACGTTGTTTTGCCATATAAAAAAATAGGGGTTGTAATAAAAAAGTAAAAATTTTGGGTTATATGTGTTTTTAATGCTACATTATAAAAAAATAAAAACAAAAAATTTCGTCAGAAAAGAAATAAAAATAATAAGGGTGAACAACCCTTATGACTTAGTGGTATGAAAAATACTCGATATGCTCACAAAATTTCTTCAAAATCGATCCAGCCGTTTCGGAGGAGTTCTCTGTCTAACATCGCGACACGAGAATTTTATATATAAGATATAATAATGATAAATAAAATAATGACAAAACATAATTTAAATCTGTTTCAGTTTACACCAGGCTGAATCTGACTGCACAGAGGCAATACGTTTAGATCCTACATATGTGAAGGCATTTCAACGTAGAGCATCCGCTAGAGAGAAACTTGGCTCATTAAGGGCAGCTTCACACGACCTGAGCGAAGTTATTAGACTTGAACCACACAACATGCTGGCTAGACAACAGTTGGAATGCATCAAAAACAGAATGGGAACTAAGGGGGTGTGTACATAGTAAAATAAATAAGAAAAAATATAAATAAGGGTTGTTTTCGTGTGCTGATTTAAGAAAAAAGGTTTTATTTTGGTTGTAGGTCGGCTTTTCTTTGATTGCTCATGTATAAATGTTAATACTTTGGAGCTGTATGTTCTACATCAATTTTGATAATAAATTGATATTAGAAATATATAAATAAAACAGCTATATTATGTTAGTCGGTTTGTTGTCACAAAAAAATTCTATTACAATATGTTATTACATTAGTGTTCACAATATTGAGTAAGGTCTGCGAATTCAGAATTCTATGACGGAAAAATAAGATTCCATACATATTTTATAAACTTATAAATTATCAACATTGTTGTACTATTACAGTATTATTTCTAAAGTATCTATGTATAAATAAGATAGTAACTTTTGCCCTAGAATTCTAAAATTATTAATCTTTCTTACTCAAAACTATGAACATATCTATACTTATAATAAATCTGTAGAGCGATCAATTCTGTACATAAAATATATTTAAAAAATAACTATCAAGGAGTGGTTAGGGATCACTACTGATGCCAAAATATGCAATCAGTAAAATTTTTGTCTATCTGTCTGTCTGTATATTAGAACTACTCGACGGATTTTAACGAAATTTGGCACAATTATTCTTCATACTCTTGGGCAGGTTATAGTATACTTTTCATTACGCTAAAATAAATAGGAGCAGAGCAGTGAAGGGAAATATTGGGAAAACGGGAGAAGTTACTCCATTTTTTAAGCTTCCGTCACGTGTGCAGGCTTATAGGATAAAGCTACATAGAAATCATGAATGACGGAAATATTCTTTTATTTCTGACTGTATGTATGTATGTATGTCTATCTTTTATTTCTGACTCACAATAACACGTGAAACTCCCGATAGCTTAGCAATTCGGAGATTTCTGATTGTATTTGTCTAGTCTCACGTTGACAACACTATCACTCATCCCTAATTAAAAAAAGTTTACATTATTACCTATTCAATAAAAAAAGAATCATGTAAATCGTTGTAGAAAAATACCAAAGTTATCTTTTTCTTGCTTATAATAAATCTGTAGAGCGATCAATTCTGTACATAAAATATATTTAAAAAATAACTATCAAGGGGTGTTTAGGGATCGCTACTGATGCTAAAAATGCAATCAGTAAATTTTTTTTTTACATGCGTCTCACTGCTGACCGCGAATGGCATACAATATTACATTGTCAATCAGAAACCTACACTGACAGGGAATTACGTCTCACTGCTGACCGCGAACGAAGCTTTGCACTGAAGTATTTTCGTTCTATAGGTACCTTTACCTTACCTTTACAAGGAGTTACACGCCGACGGAGTCGCGGGCACTGCTATCTATACTTTTCTGCCGGAAGTCACTATACCACGCGGACGAAGTCGCGGGCAAAAGCTAGTATAATAATATAATAAAATATAAATTTATGATCCTTTTTACAGGCAAAATCAAAGTCATCTCCCACAACACCGCCCAGCGAAACAAAAGCAGCTCCGGAAAAAAAAACCAAAATCGTTGAACTTCCAGATAATAAGACTGAATTGAGCCCGTTAGAGAAATGGAGAGACGGAGTGCACGAGAACATCACAGTTATAAAACCAGTTAAGAAACCACCGCATTTAAGATCAAAGGTTATTTTAAATATTTTATTCACATTTTATCAAATAATTGCCAAAAATTAAAACTAAAATTTTCCGGTTATCCTACGTGGTTTATTTTTGTGAAAAAACTACATACTCTTTTTTTTAATGTCAGAGCTGGCAAACGAGCAGACGGCCTACTTGATGGAAGGTAGTAACCGCCGCCCATGGACATCCGCAACAGAAATGTTACGGATGCGTTGCCAACCTTCATTTTTTTAGGGATAGGGAGGGGGTGGGAATAAGTATTAATGGTAGGAAAGGGTGGGAATAGGGAAAGGGCAACCGGCTATCTCACTAATCGGGCGTACAGTAACTGACTACAGTTAGGCTCTACTCCCGATGTTTGAGCTACTTTTCAGCAACCGTGATCACGGGCAGACGACCTGTCAAATTGCCGAAAAATAATTATATTATAGGTCCTTTTGTTAGCATTCTGCCATAGTACAGAAATTACATATTATGGCATAAAGTGTAAAGTTATTGATCAATATTCAATTAATTATTTTATTTCAGCTGTAATTAAAATTCTTATAAATTATATTTATAATTATGGTAATTATAATAATGCATTATTATAAACATTTCAGAGAGCATTAAAACATATTACAATACAGGAGATACCTCTTGGTAGGACAATCGATAAGTCAAATGACACAAACAACAATAAGTCGACTAACGTGACCTTAGCAGCGGATATACAAGAAAAAATGGTGTTTAATGTAAATGATAAACTCAAAGAGAGTATGGTTGTACCAATGAACAGTGTGCAGTTTATGTCAGAATGGAAATATTTGAAGGGTAATGATAGAGCCAGAGGGGATTACTTGAGTGTGAGTATGTACATGTATAATAGTATATAAAGATATGTTATATGAAAGTGATAGTAAAGATTCAGAATAACATTGTATTTTTCTATAGTAAAAATGTATGAAGTTTTGCTTATATTTTTAAAATTTGTGGATATGTAAATATTTTTAAAATAGACATCTGTTTAAAATAATGCTAATAGTTTGGATGATAGATATAAATAATGGATGATTATGATTTACTATATATAAAGGTTTCGTGTCACGTTTTTGTCCGCGATGGACTCCTAGACTACTAAACCGATTTTAAATTTGATTTGCATTCCGTGTGCATTTTGATCCAACTTGAAAGATAGGATAGCTTACATCTCAATTTATAGTCACAATATTACTTTATTGCAAATTATTTGTCTATTAAAGAAAATTACATATTTGTCATTATTACAATTATCTGTTGACTGAGTTAAGTATTCAATAGATGGCGCTATGTCAAAATACAAACGTCATATATGAGTGACTATTTAATAATAGCATAACCACCACATGTTTCTGAGGCTAAGGTATAAACTAAATTTATTTATAAAAAAACGTAACAAATCAGTTGTAGTCTATAAATAAACTGCTTTTTTTTTTTTAAACTGCCCTGGCTCGACAGACTTGTGTGGGGGTCGCCCAGAGCCTGATGTTGTTGGCCCTGGGAATACCCACTAAAACTCCCCGGCTTCCCTTCCTGCCCGTATTTGGGGGCGATTTGGGACCTGCTATGGCAATTCACCAATTCGCCCCCGGGCTGCCCAGCTCTGTGCCGGGCTACCGCGCCGGTGGGGGATTACCCGGGAGAGCCGAGATAATCCCCAGACGTGTTGACCACGTGCAATGCCTGCATCAGAGCCACTTGATGCAGGCTGATAAATAAACTGCCTACATACAACAATACATTACAAAATCCAGTTGTAAAAATTTGTAAATTATACATATATAATAAGACTATACTACTAATGGACATACAAATAGTATATTTTGTATAGATTATTATTTAAATTATGATATAATATTTCCAGATAATACCCCCGGACCTATTACCATCCATCTTTGAGAATGCCCTCGAAAGTGATGTGTTGTCATCAGTACTGAGAACTGTTCACAACAATATGGACCGTTTCCCTCACTCGGTGGCCGCTTACCTAAAGAATATATGTCGAGTGAAACGATTCTCAGCTTTAGCTATGTTCCTTAGTGCTATAGACAAAGAATGTAAGTATGTTTTTAATATATCGTCGGGGATAGTGCAAATCCGCCTAACTAGCGTGGGATAATTCCGCGTATCTACATTGGAAGCAGATTATCAGAAGAAAGTTTGAGCTGAAATATTTTTATTAGACTTTTTTATTTTTTCACAATAAGTAATTATTTAATGTTTAATTTATGGTAGTTACGCGGATTTGCACTATTCCCTACGATTTGATACCATTTAACATAAAGGGATGTGAGTTAAAATTTAGAATGAAAATTTCATTGATAAAAGCTAGTTTCAAAACTGTTATACAATTATACAATATACAATTTATTATAAACTTAACATTTCTTTAATGTTTTAAGATGTGATTATATGAATATAATATAGATGGTGGCAGTGGCGTTCACACCATAGATGCAAATAAGGACGTCATACCCTACCCATACAACAACTAAACCTATATGTTAACAGAAATTTAAAATACATTTGATTCATAATTTGCTAATAAGTGCCACCTATCAATGTAAAAATGAAACATTTTCGATCGGTCGCTGCCAACTGCTAGCGCCGCTATGCAGCCAGTGTGGCGGTATGCACAACCACTCTGCTTATTTTCTATACAAAAATTCTCAAAGACGACCTACATATCTCATATATTTATGCATGAAATGTTTGTATGAGTATGTATAAAACTAACACATGCATAGTGTTCCAGAAGCACTGATTATTTTGTATTGTTTAAAATGTCGCAGGAAGTCCGTTAATTCTCAAACAAAACGGGACTCTCTGATTGGTCGGTAAACTGTTTATATAATTTTTTCATAATTTTATTATTATTGAATATTTTCATATTTTATCATTCTAAACGTAAGTGAATAAGTTTTAATTACTAAACGAATTATGGAAAATTATAGCTGTGACCTCTGTGCTTGTGATGTGTGTTTATTGAAATTAGTTATGAGTAGATTTTCATAATTTTCGTTTGATAATAAAATAAAAATAATTGTAATGACAAGACTTGTGACCAGTTGATATTGAACTTAAAGAAAGGTAATGTTATTCTTTTTAATAAAAAATATTATGATAGTTTTAGTTAGCAGGTTGTGTACACACAAATAAGTTACATATTTTGTTTGTTGTTTGTTGTTTTCAAATGGTAATAATAAGAATATTTGAATTTCCACTGGATAATGGATTTTCTTATTGAAATAACTTTAAGATCGTAGTCGTTTTAAGGTACTTTCGTGGCTCAGAGGTAGTTGAGAGATTCATCAAATATATAGATGTTGGTTCTAATGGGACTGCTGCAACATTATGCGCGAATATTATCAATGTTTAAAAGAAATTAATATTTTCTGATTACTTCGCATATTTTATTGAAAACTGCTGCCAAATAAGATTTTCTCTTTCTGTATCTATTTTTATTTCTATTCCATTATCCTCCTATTAAACTGCAATCTATAGTTGTGCTTTTTGTTCTACAAACCGAGTTTAAAGATGCAGGTTATTTAATTGTATACCAAGCTAATTTTCCAGTACATTTTCAGTACATATTTTAGCTATAGAAATAAGACACTGTATATAGAAATAAGAATAAGACTGTGCTATATAAAATTATCTCGTTTTTATGATCTCGTATGTCATAGTTTTGACATACACACAGGACACCCTCACAAATCAAGACAGTAGTGTTAATGTAGTATGCAATAAAACTACTTTAAATTAGTTATAAGTGTATTGTAGTAAAGCAATACTGAATGATGGAACCTAATGTAATGATCTACTTACATTATACTTGATATATTATATTCAATATACTTGATATATAAATTACTATCTATCTCCCAAGATCATTGTTTTTCTATGTTTATAGATCTAAGTTTTGCTTTGTAGTAGAAAGAGCTTAAGGGAAGTTTCTTAATAATATTTGTTTTTGGGGGCTTGTATTTCACTATTATCTTTTGGACCATAACATTTATAATCATATATATATTTGAGGAGAATATATTTTAAGGAAGGAAACATCTTGATCCTAAAAGTGTTCAAATAAGTATTGAATTTAAATTATTAAAATATATCACCTATGATTAAATCAAATGTACTTGTTAATCTAAGTACTATTTCTATATGTGATGGTGAAATTAAGTCTTTTGTGATTGCTTTTACTTTAAAAATTATGACTTTTTATTGGATGGTATATTAAATTATGTTCTGACAACCCAGGGATCATAAATATCTAAATATCTTAGTAATTTAACGTTAATTAAATGTAATATTATTATTTCAAAAAAAAATACCTTTTGAAATAACCAAAATGTTAAAAATTCTTTATTATAAAACTACAATATATGTGATCTTACCCTTCTTTTTTCAATGCTTTTTATGAGTAATTTTGTAGTATACATATAATTTCTTTCCATTAATAATAATAAATGTACAAAATTACTATTCAAATCATAGGTACATAGTACATAATTAGTATTTTATCAAAGATTCAATATTTGTTGTAATCTTTATTAAATGTATTTTTTTGTTTCAGTAATTAACAATATGCTCAAGCATTGCAGGGATGTGGAAAATCTGAGTGAGAGTGAAATAACTGATTTGATGAACAAATATGAACTCTAATTACACTAGTATAGAATGTGAATTTGTTTAAAATGAAGTCCTTTTTAAGTTAATAAAGCTGACTAAAATTATATGTGTTTTTTGTTCGCCCTTTTTGTAATAAATATACCTATTTTTAGGTTTAGCCTTATAATGTAAATTTGTGAAATATCATCCAAAATGATTAAAAGCTTGACAAGCCTCACAATTGTAATAATACTAATTCATTAATCCTGACGGTCCTAATAAGGAAAATGAAAACCTGTTATCATGTTATTGTATTGTCATCGGTCCTTAATGCATATGCTAAGTTTCAAATTGACAAGATTAGACAAAGATTAGACTTCTGAAACGAGGTAAAACTCGTGCTCAAAGATTCCGTTACATAGCCAGTTAGATACAACCTAAGCTAATAAAAGCATATTAAAAATTAGGGCGTCAATCTAAAGGCGAATAATAGTGTTAAGGTATTCTAACGATTATCACACTAAGTGGTAAAAATATAGCTAAAAATAACAATAATTATTAAATAAACGCCTTTGTTCCATTTTACAAATTCCTTTGAGTTTTCTCCGTACACTCAAGATTATAATCCAAAATATGAAAACGTTGATTTTGGCAGATCATTCCACAATTCCAGCACAAATAAAAAAAAAAAGAATGTGAGTCAAAGATTTTAGAAGTCTAAGAGCCCGCGCATACAGAGCGGTTAGAGTTCTGCGTTCTAGTGACCGTTGATCTTCCAAGAGTTCCAAGTTGCAATGCAACTACCAATGCACAAAAGCTGAATGCAAATTTAATAAGATGGTAGAGCCTATCTGTAGTCAAGTTACTACAACTCGTACACGGGCTGGCTCGACCGGAGAATTACCATACTCTCAAAGAAGATTGGCGTGAGGTAGTCTGTAGTGGCTGCATTTCGACCGATGAGTGAGAGCGCCAGTTGCCATTTATCATTTCCCACCTTTTCTATGTTCCCACTCTTTCTTCTCCTTTTTACACAATCAAGGTCGGCAATATATCTGCAACACCCCTTATGTTGAGGATGTCAATGGACGACGATTACTACCTTCCATCAGGACGAATCCTCGTTTTTCGCCTTTGAAATAAAACAATAAAAATATATATTAAAGTTCTATTTTGGCTTAAAATTACATTTATGGGTTAAAATAACACTTATGGGTTTAAGTAGTTTTTAATACCTTACCTTATATAACAAATATCATAATTAAAAATAATATATTTTTAAAAACATATTAAAGTTGCCAAATGTCACTTCTGTTATTTTTAAAACTTCAAATTTACTCGTCTTATTTACGTTTTTATTTATATTTTTTATCACCTATTTTAAAATCATGAGACGCCGTTCGAAGAGATATTTATTATTTGTAGCATTTGTCTTATTCCTTTCAAGTTACATAGCTTCCAGTATATTATTCGCTTACTTCAGGAAAGTATATTTGCCGGAATTCTTTAATGTTTATAGAAAACTAATATTCTCCGATGACATATCTTGTTATCGGATGAGCGAGTCCCCTACAAATTACATTTATACGCCTAACTCAATTTTCTTTTACCAGACGGCATGCCGTAAGACAATAAGATTACACGAAGCTTGCTCTATTGAGGCCGCTGCGAGGTTACATCCAAATAAAACTGTGTATATAATAGTTTTGAACGACATATCCGAACATGATGCCGTTTTAAAAGAAGTAGAAAAATACGATAATGTGAAAATATCGAGAATTAATATCGAGAGTTTTGTAAAAAGTACTCCATTTGACGATTTATATGATATTATTTATAAAGTGAAAAAACGGCACAAAGTTATGTCAGATTTATTGAAGATCATAATGCTCTTCAAATACGGTGGGACTGCTTTAAATTTAGATATTACTGTTACGAAATCATTAAGTAAATTAGGGAAGCATTGGTTCATTAAAGATAATGGCAGTATTTATCCTGTGTTGAAGCTGTCGAATGACTTGATTGGCAGAGCTGCAGCTGGTATGGTAATGAGGTAAAATAAAAAAGATCTTTAAAATGTTTTTAAAACATTGTATGTAAGACAAAGAAAATGAAAGGTCAATGTAGTAGTATTTATTTGATGCAAAACATAGATTTTTTGATTACACAATAATGTAACTCGAATGGTCATTATCTCATATTATATATTGTATTTGTAGAGAGCTTAAACAATTTCCAGCCTATCTTGTATGTACCAAACAACTATTTTCAATAATTAGTCCACATTTTTTAAATTAAAACTCTTTAAATCGCCACCTTTATTTTTGCAATACCCATGTCATCATAAATATGGTGGTTATATTTTTAAAATAAAGACTAGACATTATTAACAAGTATTCAAATTTTGTAGCAATTTAAGGTCACAAGCGGACAATGGTTATGTAAATGTTGAAAACGCTGTTGAAGCTGCATTAGGAGATCTGTGTTCTGTTTCAGATGTAAATAAAATGAACAACTCCACATGCAGTGGTGAGATACAATATTTTATAGTTAATAAGTGTGATTGTAGAAGAAATATCATTTTTTTTTAATATGCTAAGAATGAGGGAATTATCGGACTAATATTATAAATGCGAAAATAACTTTGTCTATCTGTTTCTTACGTTTTCACACCTAAACGGTAGAACTGATTTTGATGAATATTGGTATAGACAGAAGCCTGGAGAAGGACATAACTTACTTTTTGTCTTGTTCCCGAAATTAATACATTTAAATTGTGTACCACATTTTTGTGTGGTGATGCTTTCCAGTAATTCGAATAATCAGCATATAAAATATTTTATTCCGATAACGATTCCGAGCCTGTTCTTGATTGCAAACACAATCTTGATCTCAATCCCAAAACCACACGGGTGGTAACAACGGTCGTAGTGGTAACTGTGGTGTTCACGCGGACAGAGTCGCGGGCAAAAGCTAGTATAAAATAATTCATAAGTCAATTCCTACATATAGGAATTCAAGCGGCAAAAAAGTATTTGATTTTATTTCATTTACGTCACAAGACATCTTTTTGTGTAGCACCATATTTGTAAACTTCTTAGCTATTAAAATGAAACCAATATATTCGGATTTACTACGCGTTTTTATTTTTGACTATAAACTGCATACGGGACATACGAAAATATTAATCTCATTTAAATGAGTACTCGCGAAAATCTTAGATCTCATTATCTTAGATATTAGTTTTGCTTACGAGGGACAGATAATGTTTGATAGAATTGGGTTAAAGGCGTTTGAAACAAGATAACATCACTATCACTTATTGAACAAGCAACAACTTACTTCTGTAGCATTGTGTATATTTACGACAAACTTTCTTTTACTTTCAACTTGAGTGAAAATGTTAGTTCTGTTGGCTATTGGTGGAGAGATTTAGTAGCACTGTAATTACATTTTAATAATATACAATAAGTGTATATTTTCAAACATAGTTTGAAATTACTATATAATATTAATACATAATATCTAAATGTTTCAGGTTACAAGATTTATGACGTTAAAATCTTCAGACCTATAGATTACGAACAACAAGAATTGTATTTAGAACCAGCTTACGTGAGAAGTAACTTCGGATATCAGACTTGGTTAGACGCTGTAAGAATTTTACCAAGAGACTCCTTGTACTGCACAATAGCGAGGAATTTCTGTCCCTTTATATACGGAGAATTTATGGAAGACTTTGTAAAAGATTATTGATTATTATATGCGTTTATTTTTTCACTGTTGTTTTCGTTTTTATTTATGTCTGATGGGTATAAGCCAATCTACTTAAAATTAATTGATCATCATATGTCTAAATATATTATCATTTTAATAAAATTAATGATAACTTCTATAGTAAAGATTTTTCAGTAAATAGAAAATATAAAACTGATACAAAAAAGATGTTTTGTGGTTATATCTCTAGGATTTTAAACAACGATTATATAGCTTTATACATGAATTTCTGTGTTAGCAATCTATTCAATTAAACTTAAGAAAGAATTCCACGAAACACAGTTTATTCGTATCAAAGATTACTGTATTAGTTGCATAATACCTAATCGTAATGCGAAAACGAATAATATTTCTCACATTACAAATTAATAGATTGTTAAAATGATCTAAATATTTTCTAAATCTTTATATATATAATTCTTCTGATGAAATATTTGTGTGTGTTCAAGGGAATCTGGGAATGGTTTAGATTCACGATTTTGAACGCTGGACAATGTTTTTTTAATTAATTTTTAATTTATTAGTAGTTGCTGATAAAAACGTTTTTTTGACATTAGATTTGACAACTAACTAATACATATGTCAATCATTCTGTCGCACTTCAAAACACGGAGATTTATGGCTTTAATAGGTGAACTCCAAAAATATAAATAAAAAAACATAACAGATATTTCTTGATTATAGGGCGATACGAAGTTCGCCGGGTCTTCTAGTTTCTATATAAAAATTCAGGCTATTTTAAAGCTTTTCAATAATGAGAATAACGGGAAAAAATCAAATTGTATAGTTCGTTTTATAAAATGACAAAAACTTTTATCAGATGACTTATCTGTAATAAGAGTAAAGATCAAATATGGTGATAAAATTAAATTACAAAAAGTAATATTTATGACACATTTTGCAAAAATATAACAGTATAAGTGACAACAGCTGAGGCGATGGACAATATAATGCCGTACTCCAGTTTGTAGAAGTTTAAAACGTGAAAGACAATTGGTTTGGTCTGAATGATCCCTTTCAGTTCGGTTATGGCTACTCGCATTTCGGATGCTGTAAAAATATATTAACAAGGAAATTCTGAATTATATAATAAATAAAAAATATTAAGTAATACTCACAAAGTTTCTTATTTGCAATTAAGTTTTCAATCCAAAATATAATTCTATCTGTCTGTCGGTAGCTCTTTTCGCAAGAGTTTACGCCGCAAAATAAAAATGAAGAAATTGAAATAAATCTAGTTAGAGCTGCCATTATAAGAAGCCAACTGTACTCTATAGCCTGTAAAATAAGGATTTATTAAGGAAATTTACAATTATCTCAAAAATGTAAAAAGGATATTATTATTGCAGAAGTGTTATATATGCTATAATTAAATATATTACTATATTTAAATATATTTATGCTATAATTAAATACATATATTACTCGTGGAACATAAGATTTACACGTCCTTTACTGTTTTGGATTTTACTTTAAAAGTAAAGTTTTTAGAGTATTATCACTAAGTTCTTTAAAAAAATTAGTGAATTTTGAACGATTGCATACAATAGTCACTATTTAGTAAAATCAGACACAATAGTACTTAGTAGTACCTACCTAATGTAATAGTACTTACCAATGAACCGAAGAGAAGGCGTATCACGAGATTTAATACCATAACCATTTCAATTATAAAAATTATATTATAACTAAATATCTAAAAATTAAAAATACGGGTTTATTTATTAGTAAATCTAAGGAAAAGTATAATTTCCTTTCACCGTTACCAAAGTTATACTTACTCGGAATCCATACATGTTGTTTATGTAATAAGTCTGTTTAGATAAAAGTAAATAGCATTTGTTAAACATCATTATATCACTGGGAACCCGCTTTTTTTCTTGAACTGTCTTAGTTACAAAAAAATTATGGTGTGCTATGTCTTTAAGTTCACCCGGTATGTTATCAGAATTATAATAGTAATGTTTTAACCAGTTACCGATTGTTTTTAAACGATATTTTACTTGACAAACATTGGATATCATATCCAAAGTGTTGAGTATTTTGAAAAAGTAAAACACATATTGCAATGTGTACAAAATGGTTGCTGTCCAACCGAGAGTTAAAAAACATGAAAGAAAATCCAATATAATTGTTATAGGAACAATTACTAACAGTATAAAACACATTCTTCTTGTGTTCCCTTTGATTTCTTCATAACTTGATATCTCGAGATATTTGTCAATTGTTTCGTAAGTCCCTATGTAATGAAGAAAGGTTTGCCCCCCGTATTTGTTAACGAAATAAACATCAAAGAAATATTGAATATTAAATATCAAGTGAAACATTTGAATCCACGCTGTAAAATTTGTGTTGAGACTATTATTAAAATATCCCATGAAATAACCAATACATGTGGCCACAGTCGCTGTTACAAGATATAGAGTAGTCCAAATGAACTTATACAATAAAGAACCAATTTTAATTTTATCTTTCTCACGATACACACGAGAGAAACCAAACATATATAAAATGGAATATAAAGGTAAAAATGATGAGAACACGTCCGCCTTTAAAGTGTAACTTTTCACAGGATAAGTCTTCATTTTTAATCATCAAATAGGCGACCGTTATACTAAAGTTGAGCAACTCGTATCAGCTCAAATGTTATGTGGCTTTGTTAAATGATCAATATGAAATTAATTCTAATACATTAAAATAATTACATAAATATTTTACAAATAAAAAAGAACATAATATGTTATTACTAAAACAATTACTTTGATGACCCACCTATTAGTAAGATTAATATGTGGAATATAAACGTTTATAAAAAAAATATTTTTACTTTTAAGTCATTTAATATATGAAGGAAGGTTTAGCAGCAATTTTCTGTTTCAATATCTTCAGAAGTTTAGTTGTACCCATACAGTTCATGGGAATAAGAAACAACTAAATATATGTATACACAATTGAATTCTACATATAATTATGTTGTAATAAAAACTCCTCACCCGTTGCAGTGGTTGTTACTTTATTTATTTGAAAAATATAATATCTCAGTAGAATGGGTTAACTTTCTTTTGAATATAGGAATAAGCGCCCTAATAAATGTAGACCATGTGACTCCAACACCTAATTTTATTAAATATCAACAATTAGTAGCGATGTTTTAATATAACATTACTAACTATTTTTAAGAGGTCTATATTTCTGCTATTGTACTCGTACTTCACTGATCTATTTCACGTTAGTTATCCTCCAAATATTAAGACCACTTCAATCATTGGGCTGAAGCAAGTACGTCAATTTATTTTTATATGAAAATTTCCAATTTATATTGGAAGATACTTCGTAAATTATCTTTTTCCTTTTATTTCGTCATATAATTGATAACAGTTAGTTACATTAAATCAAAAATTAAAATCCGTCTTATTTTTCTATCATAGGTTGTTGTAGCTACCTTCCACATTTTCTCTAGATTGCTTATTTGACTGTTTCTCGGTCATAAACATAATAATAATAATATATGCTTGCCCCAAGTTCGCATTATCACAGTCAAGACGAGGCGTTAACCATTTTTTCAGTAAAACTTTTAATACAACCTCTAACAAAATTGCGTTTAATTTTCAACGCTCCTGGGGACGAAAGAATGTCTACAAATATTTCTTCAAGAAAAAATAAGTTCATAAAAATGATTAGTCCCCTTTCCTTCCTATTTTCATTTCCACATTGCTAAGTAACGTTTTTTCTTCTTTTTAAGACGAGGCACTCCACGAACAATTTTTTATATTTATAAATCTTCGCACTTTCTTCTTTAATTAATTAACGTTATTGAATAAGAAACGGTAACGATGGAAACTTGTACCGAGCTTTAAATATTCATTTATTAATTGACTTATAAATTTATTTAATGTAGTTTTTAATTAATTAAAATTATATAATAATTATAAGTATTACGTTATTATGACAACATTGTTGAAAGAAACATACATATGTACATATATGTACACAAATGTCTGTATAAGATAGTCAAAACTAAATCAAAAATAATATTATTAACATTTATTCCATATATTATCTCGTATTACAATCTTTACAAGATCGAAATCATGGGAGAAGATTCAGAGTGCTTAATTGGTGAAAATTATTATTATAGCCAAATGAATTCAGCTAAAAATAATAATTAACAATGCTGAAAGTTGCTGAAGGTTATTCTAGAATAAATATTCATAGCCCGGCGTCGTCGGGGTGGTCCTAATTGCCGGGATCGCCCCCATGCTCCGAGGGAGTAAGTCCGGTCTTTGCCAGGACCGGCCAGTCGCTGGTGTGCCCTGTCGCTGACAGATCCGGGGTACACCGACATAGCGGCCGATGGCTTTCGCAGTGGTTTTAGTGAGTAGGGGCCTGCCCAGGCCGAGCCTCACACATCCCTTCCGGCCCCACCAAGGCCGGTTGGACGGCTCGTAAAAAGAGTTTCCACTACGTCATCAAAAAAAAAAAAAAGAATAAATATTCATAAATAATGTACATAAATCATTAATTAATTTTTTCAACAATATTGACGTCACTCTTACATCAATTTCATTAACAGTGCAGCCATATACATATGTTAATTGGACAGTCGTATAATGTGTCATATTTTATTGATTCGCAGGTTATTTATGCCATTATTTAAATGAGTTCCAATCAATCTAATAGCCATGTGTACCATTTAAAAGAAACAGAAGTAAATAATTTCAAATACTTACAGGTTGGTTCTGGTAAGGCTCTCAAATGGTAAGTATGGACGATATTTTTTATATATTTTGTAAATATTGAAATAAGAAATAAATTTTATTACAAACAAAAAATTATCAACTTTTTTAAATTTACAGTTTATAACTCTTTTATCAAGTTTTATTGTTTTTTAAATTTTCAGGTCATTGAGTACAGTTGGCTTCTTATTATGGCAGCTGTAACTCGTCTGATTACAATTTGTTCATTTCTACTTTTCGTTG